TTTTTTTTTTTTTTTTTTTATTGTGGATTATTATTATTTATTTGTGCAAAAAAATAAAAGACGGCGCACAACACTTGTATTTTTTTTAAACGGGCCAGACAAATCTAGTTACTGTGTATAAACCGTCGGAACACTTAATGGCTTGCTGGCCCATCGCTCTCTCTCTCTTTGACAACACAATTATTGCGGTTGCCGCACAATGGAGACCACCACGTGTAAACGCAATTTCCACCAGATCGCCCCCCAAGTCTGCGTCGCCTCGGTCGTTTGTCGGCCGCACGTCTCCCTCGTCGCGGATTTTTCTACACCGCCCCGCCGCACCCNGTGCGTTTTATTGCTGTTAAGTCATTTTATATCCACCGTACGTGCATATATTAGAATATTATATAATAGTTTGTGTGGCCGAAAAACCTTTTAACGGGCGGCGCCGCGACAGATGAATAATAATAATAAAACCGACCGACATTTTGACGGAGTTGTTCTGTGTATACACTATGAATTTTAGATTTTACCGTCGTTTTTCCAAGAAATATTATGCGAAACACCAGAGCTGACTAAACGACGGCGGCGTCGTCGTCGTCGTCGTCGTTGGCTCTATGCGCAATTTCATACGCCCAACGCAAAAGGCACCGCGCCCATTCCATGACAAAATTTGCTCAAGGATCGATATCGGCGACGACTCTTTTTTTTTTTTTTTTTAAAATTATTATTGTAATAACGACGACAAGGTCGTCGCATGGTAATTGCTGGTGACCTCACGACACGGCGGTCGTACGTGAAACGTTAACGACTATTTATTATTATTTCTAAACGTTGGGTTGTTCAACCCTTGAAACTGTTATTACCCTCGGGTTTGGGCGGAGAAAAATTCGCGTGCAACAGAGACACTTGTGCCCGGCTAATAATCTCTTTGTATCGAAGAGCTTTTGCTGTTGTCGTCGCGTACAAACCGGAACCGGATTTCGTTAGTAATTTTTATTATGCGTGTTTTATAATACATTATTGTTATTACTGTATGAAAATGGAGACCGGGGTCCGTGTTGAATGGTTTTTTATTTCTTTTACACACACACACACTCACTGTTATTTCTTCATATAGCTGCGTCAGCAGACGGCATGTGTGTGTGTGTGTGTGTGTGTATGTGTTCTTTAGGTGTGCTGTAAAAAATAAAAATGAATGAGTAGCAACACGATAATCTCGAAATGAATACAAATCGTACATCCGTTTTAACCTTCCGCCCACTCTGTACGGCGTGTGTCGTCGAGTACACCACCAAGACTATTGTGTACCACCGGCCCTTCCGGCGGCGCCCGTCCCGCTTATCTCGTTATCACCACCACGACGACAACAGACCTCTACTAGTAAATAGGGTCTTATTGTTATCGGGCCCCGATCCATAGAAATGTGTGCGCGCGTGTATCATGTGTCGTCGTCGTCGTCGTCGTCGTCCTCCTTGTGAGGTCCCCCGGCCGCTGCGTCTTGCCCAAACGGGACCTGCACGAAATCGTCCCGGGCGCACGGACGCATTTTACAAGTAGCGCGGCTATTTGGGTGTGCATAGCGCGCACGTGTTCTGCACGTAGTTTTGGCACACAACGACGGCGTGCCACTGCCGCCGCCGCCGCTATTGTGTTTTGTTTTACTCTTGTAATGCTCCTCGCATACCATAATTATTAAGATGTGTTAATGACAAGGTTTTTTATTTTTCTTTTGCAGACGCGTGTTCGAGTAGGTCGACGCCGAAACCGCGACCCCTACAGCCGACGGCGCGGCCCAACGTCACCTTCCACACGTACCCTTGTCCGCCGGTGTACGCCACCTGGTACTGTCTGAACGACGCCACGTGTTTCGCCATCAAAATCGGCGAGTCTCTGCTGTACAATTGCGAGTAAGTATTGAAAGTTTATTTTATTTGTGTTTATGCGATGTTCGCGTAGAAGAAACGCGCGCACGGGGACGACGAGCAAGTCGCGTCGGGTGTTTGTTAATTTTTCGGTAATATCCAATACGCGCAGTGGGCAAGGTTAAAAAGGTGACCGAGAGTACGACGAACGAGCGGCGCTACTTAACACGAACACGCACGCAGAGGACAATGTTATTTACGACGGGTAGGTGGTCGGCTCGGACCGGCGGAGGCCAATACACACACATATCATAGGCGCGTTATTATTAAATGTTCGGCGTGCACGTACAAATATATAATCCACGGTCCGCATTGCGGGTCACGTATCTGTTTAATGCTCAAGCACGGATATCCTTCGGACGACCGTATCACCGACTGTGTGACGACGACGACGACGACGACGACGACTCCCGAGTTCTCCGTCACTCCTATTCTCGTGTGCAAGTGAGCCACCACCGAGTCCATTGTTGTGTTGTATGTGCCTAATGTACACCCATAACGTCTCGTGTACAATGCCCATTGAGACTAGTCGTCGCAAATATTTCAAAAATTCCGACCACACGCCCAAACGGTGTCACCTCTTAGGCGTACATCTGTGCGGCGGAACACGTTAAAACACTCTCACGGATTGCACTAGACACTATCTCGTGTCCGTTTCAGTCTATTGACATTTTTTTACCGATTACGGACTGTGCACAATGCCGTTTGTTTTTCTGAACGCGTCCCCCGAAAGTCTAGTTGAAACGTAATGATGCGCAATCATCATAGTTTTTTGGCACAGTCTGATTGGGTCGTTTTGTATTGGTGTACCTATTTAATCAGGACGGCACAAACATCAACAGGTAGCCAACCCGGTGTGAAATTTGTACGATTAGATTAAGTAATTTGTTGGCCGTTTCGTCGACCGGGTCTAGTGATTGAATTCAGCAAAAAAAAAAAATCACCGTTTGATGATGTAGAAATAATCACGGTTTCGTAGATTTGTAATGAATTCTATAATGTAAAACGCGTACTGTAGTTATAATAAAAAACAAATCTCTGGCATACATTTTTTCATACCTAAGATTATTGTGTTTCGTTTAAAATTAATTTTGGACCCAAAGAATCGCGTAGAAACCGAAGACACTGTGGCTATACCTGTAATGTCTTTTTCCTCGTAACGCGGCCACAATTTAATTCGACGACAAAACGGTAAAAAACCGCGTCCGAGTTACTCTAGCATTAATAAAACATAGATAAATTATGTTTTACGTGCGGTGGTTTATCTGTTGAGAACGGAACGCGTCGCGTATGCAGACAAATTAAAAATATTTTTTAACCCCGCGCAAATACAATAAAAAGGTTCCGGGTGTTTAAACATTTTTTTTTCCATTCGTTTCAACTTTTGAAACGGTTAACTGCGAGAAAGCTGCTCTGCGTTTACTTTTTAATGTCCATTGTATAGTTGACCTTGATAAGGCGTAGATGTGTACCGCATTTACATTTTATAACAGTGCGGCTGATTACAATTGGTTTAACGTTATTATTATTATTTTTTTTTAGGTGCCCTGATGGTTACATGGGTCAGAGGTGCGAGTACAAAAACCTGGACGGTTCGTACACGAGTAAGTGTTACCTTTGTGATTTGTCACGAGTGTTATTAAAAGCGATGTTGTTGTATTTTCTGAACCGCCGCCGCCGCCGCCGCCGCCGTATATCTGGTCTCCCTAATAGATAAAAATATTTAAAAGCGGTTTTCTTTTATTTTCGAAAAACAAAATTATACCGTGTGACAGTCGCCGCACCACTAATGTGCTGTGCACTAAATCATCACTCTCGGCATCATAATATCTTCCGTCGTCGCTCAAGAACTTGGGTCCCGTCCAACTTATCTTTTGTACATACGCTCAGACACGCCGCACATGCGACCGGCGGCGTATATCCTAAAATTCTCCCAGAGCATAAATCCGCCCGACGGCGGGGCGCGTACGTTTCACATGCGGCCAGCGGCCACTTTGCTGTCGAAAGCGTGCGTTTCGTCGCTATAATAATAATGATGTCGTCGTGCGCGCAATTCAAACGATACATGTTTTATCGTCTGGCCGGCTGTGCCGAGGTCGTCTGTGCGAAACGAGAACAGTGTGTACAACGTGGTGGTGAACGGCGGCGGTGTCTCTTAAACCGTAGTAACGTGTAAACTATCCTACATGCGTGAATGGACCGTGGGGACGCCGCGTGAGCGTGTGATGTCGTAGGTTTGTGTGCATATTTGTGTATACGTAACGAAGCACAGTGTACACAGGTGCACGGGGAGGCAAAGAAACGAGACCGCATACCAAACCCGCGCTCGGTCCGGCATACTAATGATTTACTGGGTATCGCATCCCTCCTGTCGTTGCAGCCGCCGCCGCCGCCGCCGCCGCCGCGAACCGTAGTGCAGTTGTGTAGTAGCCGTACCAGTAGTAGTAGTAGTAGTGGTGGGTAGCAGCCCATAACAGTGTACACGAGTACGTGTGTGTGTGTGTGTGTATAACGTGGTTATTAAAACGAAAATGGGTTCCGGGCAGCTTTCTTAATGAATCGACTTTTCACATGGATATATTCAACGGCTGGGAACTGAGAGTTTCCGATTGGAGTAGCGTCATTACCCTCCGGCGGCGCGCGATGATTGTTTGCACAACGCCGTGCCGATGATACAGTCGGCCATTAATGTTAATTATTGTACACGGCGCGGACGATGAGCTATTCGATTTGAACGACTCGAATAACATTATTCGTTTGTTGTTGTTGCGGTGGGGTTTGACACTGAACGTTTGTGTTTTTTTAGCTACCAGGAGACAAGTGATGTTGGAATCTGCCAGCATAGCTTCGGGGGTCAGTGTGGCGGTGCTGTTGGTGTTCATAATCTGCACCACGTTTTACATCAGGTCGAAACGACAGCGAAAACTCAAAATGAACGCAACGGACATTTCGTGAGTACACATCGCAGTAACGATAACCGCCGCCGCTGCAAAATTACACATACCAGTGGAACGCGTTGTGTTAATTTTTTTATTTGAATTTTTTGCAGAATGGTAGACGGCACGTGGGGAGACATGGAAAGGCGGCCCTTTGCGTATCGGCCCAAACACACGATCGTCACGATTCCTCTCAAGACGGTAATCACAGTGAGTGTCTTTAGACTTCCCACTCGTTCGTCATCGGCGGTATATCGTTTTTATCGCGCGGTCTTACTCTGTCAATCGCCAAAAACAATGACCCGGAGGTATTTATAGACGCGCTGTGTATCCCCACGCGAATCGTCTGAAGTGGGTGCGTGA